TCAGTCTTTGGGTTGCTGTTGTTGGGGCTCTCTTGCTGCTGCTGCTGCTCATCTATTAAAAAAAGCACTCCTGTTTACAGAGAAGAGATACCCACTGGCTCTCCCCACCTTCAGGCGCTTCAGCAGTCACGCACCCTGTATTCCTTTACACAGCGGGTCATCCTTCTGGGCCCCTAACCCTCATTCTCTTTCCATCTGTTCCCCAACATGTACTACTGAGCACCCAACAGATGCAAAAGACAAGGAGAGCCATGAAGGCTCACGTCTGTCCTCTAAGAACTTATGTGAGTAAAGACAACTCACTTAACAGGTTGTAGGTAAGTGTGGTGAAGCCAGCCTGGACTAGCTCCAAAGAGTAGCCAGGCACATCTTCCAACTCTTCTCAGCAAGGCCTCAATAATGGGGAGTATGCATATCAAGGAAAACTGGCAAGCATCACAGACCAGCCCCAAACTCCCACCCTGTAAGTCTGTCAGTCCAAAGATCCAACATTTACCACTGGTCATAAGAGACAGGAAAAGAGAAGCTCTGAGGTTCAAGAGACGAGGACTTTGAAAAGATTCTGAAGCACTCACTGTGTAAGCAGGAAGGCATGCCTAGGGGACTGCACTGATCATTGTGCTGGATACCTAAGCACAGCAAAACATTGGGGGACAAGACTAGCTGGTGAGGCAAGGCGAGGACAGGTGGGCCAGGCTGCCAAGCAGAACCCCAGAAGGGTTTTAGATCCCAGCCTTAAGCAGATTGGGTCTTCTGTGGGAAATGTCACTCTGGAGCTTGGAACACACAGGATGGCACCTTTGTGCGTGGGGAACGAGGCCACACCATAACAGAGTGGATCATGGACCCTGGAACCCCTCAGTCATGCTCCTGAGGTGAGGAGGGGGCAGCAATGAGGTATACAAGGTTCCCTACTGACATAGACATCAGAACAGCTCTTATTCATTCTCTTTTCCACACTGGAGTTTCTCATAAATTAAGATAAAAAAAAAAAAATTTTTTTCAGCTAAAAATAAAGTGTGGTAACCACTGGCTCAAATATGACAGAGGGGATACACGGGGATACACCAGATGAAGAGGACAGGAAGAAGCAGGAGATGTGCTCGGATAGACAAGGAAAGGTTGGAGGTGGGCAGTCAGAGAGCCATGGCTATACCTTGTTGCACTGCTCAGACTCGCCCCCTCTGTAGCCTCCTCCTCCTCCTGCCACCAACAAAAACTGCCACTGTGTCCCCAACTCATCTCTCCTGAGTGCTCACAGGTCAAAGACTTTAATAATGACCCCAGACACCAGAGGACATCAATAACAACCAGTGATCTCCATCCTAATCTCCCAGGGAGTACAAACCAGAAGTCAACCCAGGTTTGGGGACGTGCAGGTATGGTTCCCCCTGGAGGGCTGCGTGCTCCTTCACCCTCTTCAGGGTCTGCCTACATGTCATCTTATCTAGAGGTCTCCAGACTCTTGGTCCCTGGCCTGGCTGACTTTTCCAGAGCACCACCACCACAAACTATTGTATCTGCCTCCCCACCTGCCAGCTCCTCTGTACCCCCAGAGCCTGCAGAAGCAGGGCTCAGCCAAAGCACCCACTGCACTACTCCATGGACATGGCCTCAGCACAAATGCCCACCCAGCTTCCAATGGGGGTCCCCGATCCTTGTAATCCTTATTCACTCCTTTTCTGTTCCTACTACACTAACCCCAATGCTGGACCTCATTACTCTTCCTGTCAGTCACAAAGGTTCTAGTCTCCCCCATTTCAATCCATCTGAGGCACTTATGTCAATATTTTTGATCATCACCTCCCTACAAAGGTCCTTCGGTATTCCCCACAGCCAAGCAGACAAACACCAACAGCTCCCCTGTCTGCCAATCCCTTGAAGTAGCCCAGACAGTTCTCTTACCTCTCAAGGCTCCTGATACAGCCTGACACACCCACCCATTCTCATGGCTGCTTCCCAGCCCAGTCTGAAGGACTGAAAATACACCTAGGCCCTACTCATTTCATTCACCACATGCCCCTCACAAGCCCAGTTGCTCTAGACAAATGCACCACCCCATCCTTCACCATCAGCCTCCACAGCCCAAACCACACCCAGTAGAGGCCTTTTAGGCATCAGCAAAGGGGAGGACAGGCTCCATTGCCTGACCTTCCCCAAGCGTGTCAGCACCAAGAGAAGGGTAGAGTCCTTCTAGGAAAGGAGTGCTTCCACATAGCGCTGTTCCCAGGCCTGGAATGGGATGCCCTAGAATAGAAAGCTTACTTCATACCAGCACCTGGTGAGAAACCTAACAATCCACAAGCAGGTCCACCACCCAAGATGGAAATGTTCGTTCCTGTGATTAACACTCCACCATGAACAAAATAATTCACTGGGTTGCTCAAATACAAACTCTGTCTGGACTCAGCTGAGTAGCTGGGTCAGACCCTTAATGACAGTGGTCAGCCATACAAAATGAACAAAGCAGATCCTGCCAAGTTAGTCACAAGAAAAACTTCTCTCTCAGACTTGCCTTTATTTATTCATTCATGCATTTTTGCAGTGTGGAGGTGAGCTCAGGGACTTGTGCATACTACACAAGTGCTTTACCACTGAGCCCCATACTTGCTTTTAGACGCATAAGTTTTAGTTATATTTATGATTCAACTACTCAGTTTCCCCAACTACCCTACTCTGCCTCACTCAGGACAATGGTCTCCATCCCCTAGGGCAAGGACAGGGAAAGTCCCACAAAGAAGTCCAAACACGGAAACATGTGCTTCAGGCTCCCTTCCAACTAAGTTTCCACAAAGCACCCAGGTGTGTCACATGAAGGAAAGAGTGCACACAGAAGAAAACAGAAATGTGGCACAAATTAAAAATATATATATATATTAACACAAAAACTGACAGAAAGCAACCTGAATCACCTTCAATGCTGGGGGGGGGGGGGGGGTCACTATGCCAAGGTGGCACCTGACCCATATCCATTTTCCCCGTTCCTTTCTCCTCTAGACCTCTCTCACTTGAGTGCATAAAACTCAGGTGATAGTGTGGCACGAGATCTTGGTCTGACTGAGCACATGACATACCCAGGCCCAGGACTTCCACACAGTCTTTTTCCAGACTGCTACATAAGCTGGAAAGGAAAATCCAGGGGTTGACGAAGACAACCCCCCACCACCAGGCAAGAACAACACTGCCTGAGAAAAGAGCTGCTGCAGAAGTCCACAAGGCCAAGTTGTGCAGATTACCAACTACAAGTTCTAGGCACCCAGACCTAACATGCCTGAAGTGTAGGAAGTGAACTTTTCAATCAGGTAAAACCCTGAAGTCCCTCTCTTCTAAAGCCATATTATACCAGACCACCTGGACTGAACGGAGCTCTGTACCACTGCCTACAAATAAATGGGCGAACTGTTACATACTCATTAGCTGCCTGCCCACTGGGTTGTGTGCAGCCTTGCTGCTCTTCATCAGCCTTCTACCTGACTCTGACAAGACGTAGGAAACTGAAGGAGTTACCCGCACACCTGCTAAGTGGTAGTCACTGAGAAGGAGGCCGAAGGTCACTGGTGGGATGGTGCAGAGGTGGGCAGGGAGGCCGGGCCCAGGGTGAGCGCTGGCTCACCGGCCGCACCTCCCGCTCCACCACGCCCAGGGCACAATGCTGGCACGCTCTGCTGGGGGCCGCCAAGTAGTTGAGGTTCTAACTGTTGGGAGTGAAGCGGCGGCGGGCTCAACGACAGCCGCCCTCCAAGCTCACGACTCTCCAGACACGTTTACAAACCAACATCAACGCTAGCTCCGCCTCAAAGTACCCGCAGGCGTCCCAATCAGGAGGCCTCATCACGGGAGACCCCGACGTAGGGTCAACCAAGTCGCCCAACCGGACGGTGGACCACCCGCGGCCCGGACCCCGGGCGCCCCGCCGTAACCGACCTCGGCTCCGGGGCCCCGCGGGCGGCGGACGCGAACCGGGAAGGGCCGTGCGGTGACCCCGAGGCCCCGCGCCCCCCGTCCGGACCTGTGGCCGGCTCCGGAGGGGCGGACGAGCGGCCCGAGGCCACCGAGCAGCCCGCGCGCCCTCACCTCTCCCCGTCGCCGCAGGTGGGCCGCCGCCGCGCTCAGGCTCGCCGTGGTCGAGGCCGGAGCAGAGTGCGGAAGAAAAGGGCCCGCGCCGCAGAGCCGCACCGCGCCGGGACCGAGCGCACAGCACCCGCCGCAGCGCCGCCGCCGCCGCCTCAGCTTCCAAGATGGCCGCTCGCGGGGCGGGCCCTGACCCCGTTTCCGCTTCCGGTACGCGGTTCGCCATAGCGACCACTCTAGGCAGCTTGGAGGACGGCGCCCGTGTCTCTCTGTCACCCCCGCCCCGCTAGGTTTTGTCTCCGGCTTCCGAGGTGGGCGACGGGCGCGTGCGCACTGGTGGACAGCGCCGTGGGGCTGGGCCGCAAGAATCTTTCCTCCCGGCTCCTCCCAGGCGTCGCCCGGCGCGGACGCTGTCCCGCCGAAGACCAGGGGTCAGCGAGTGGCCGCCGGCCCCCACCACGCGCTACCCTCCACACAGGCCCAGTTGGAGGGGAACCCCCGGCCCGGGGTCCAGACTAACTCCCGAGTGCCGCGTCCTCTGAGCCACCCTGCCAGTCAGCCCGGCCTCGCCCGCCCTAGCCCCTCCCGCGGGGCCCGCGAGGGCCACGGGCCAGCGCGCCCGCCCGCCCCTACCGCGGGGACTGCCGTCCTCGTAAAAATAGCTCCAGTGTCCCTGCCAGAGCTTCCCACCCAGCCCGTGAATGGGCTCTTTATGCCCATGGACACTGGGCCCAGGCTGGACTTCCGCTCCCACGGCCCCTCCCTGGCCCTGGGGCGCAGCTCGGCGGGGCAGGGGCGGCAGGTGGTGGGTTGGGGTGGAAGAAGGAGCAGGTGGGAAGGGGGCGAGGTTTAAAAACCCACGCCCACGCACAGTCCTGGTGACCTCCCCTGCATGAGGAAAAGCGGGTCCAAAAGATAACTCCTGTGACTCCTATTTTAGGATTGTTATGCTCTGGATGTCACTGTCACGCTCTCAGTCAGACCCTCAATATGACTCGATGAAGGACTGTTTAAATTCACACAGCAGAGTGTTTACACGACATGGTTCCTCTCCAACGGCCCACACTGCCCTATCTCAAAGTGTGTACTTCTTGCTTTCTGTCAATAAAATCCTTCTGTGCCTCACTTTGACCGGTCCTGAAGCCCCTTCCTGTGATGCCAAGGACCCTCACAGCCCAATTTGAGTCATTGAAGGCATGCTCCTGCTCCCAGCCCAGCTCCTCTTCCGTGTTCCCTTCTGCAGCCCCTGCAACGCTGGAAGGCACAAGTTGATTCAATGTCAGCTACCCCGAGAGAGCCTGGGGCCCTTCACCTTTCCTCCCCCGCTGCTGGGAAGGAATATGGAAATGGCACCCTCACACAGGCCCGACCCTCCGAAGGATCAGGACTGGGGCCTGAGAAACCCCAGGCCTGTGCTGAGTCTGGGGGCCGCACCAGCTGCATTAGTTGGTCCATCCTGGGGCTGGAAGAGAAACTTCAGCCCCAGGTTACATTGAGGACATAGGCTCAGAGGTTGAGTAATTTGGGTAATGCCACGAACCTTGGTGAATGACAGAGCTGTGACCAGCACCAACCCAGGCCGGTCCAGGGCCGGCTCTTCCCCAGCTTGACTTCCTTCTCCCAGGTTGTCACCCCCAGCCTCTGCCTGCTTCCAGAGCCAGGGGGCCAAGGACCTCAATGTTCCTTAGAGTCCAGGCTATGCAATCTGGACCCAATGGGAGCAGGGCTCCCTTCCTCATCCCAACCCAAGTCCTTTGGGGTGAAATGTCAGAAACCCAGAGCTTGCCCTGATGAGGTGGCAGCAGGGCTGGAACCTACCCCTCCAACTGGGACCACGATGAAGCGCTGGCCATTTGGAATGCAGAGACCACTGGTCGACCTGGGGAAATGCAGGCTCCCCTTGTAGAGACAGGACAGGGGCTCCTGTCATCTTGCCTTCAGCCTTACACAACCACACTGTGGGTGCCCTATCCTGTGCTGTGCTTTTAGTACGTGGTATATGCTTTTAGCATGTGACCTGTCATCTCAGTGTGGTTGGTGGTGACCTCAGCTTGGGAGAGGGTGAGGCCACCAGGTGCCTTCTGCAAACCCAGGACTGAGGTTGTTCTCACAATTAGTACCCCTACCAATGTCGAGCCCTTGTTTCAAGGAACATCTGTGTTCTGAGAGTGAGGCCCCACCCAGGGTCCCTCAGCCACAGACACCTATAGTCAGGGCTGGAGGCCTGAGCCAGGCAAGCGGGGATGAGCAGGCCTTCCTCCAGGGCTGGCAGGAGAGTGGGCAGGGAGGTGAGGGGCCCAAATCTCTGAGAGCCAGACAGAGTGTGAGGGGCCAGTGTGATAGGGGGTACCAGCCCAACAAGGGCCTCTCCTCTCCCTCCAAAAATGGCTACCCCTCACCCCAGCCAGGGTCAGGGGCCCAGGCCTGCTCTGCATAGCTCAGGCTGAGAAAGATTTACCTGGCAGAGGGACCCCACATCTCTACCTCCTGGAGAATTCAGCTTCCAGTCCAGAGCAGGTATGGCTGCCCCTGCTGGCTGGGCCCCTCCCATGAAGCCCCACCCTACACCCTGCCCAGCCGTTCTAGAGCCACATCCTGCTCAGTGACCTACTGAAGCTCCGAAGCTCTCACCATCTTGGTCACATACCACACCATTGATGAGGAATGGAGGTTCCTGCACAGGAAGCCCCCAGACTCCAGGTACTGAAGATGCTCGGCACGGGCTCCACTCCCTGCACTTGGCTCCTGGGGGTCAGGGAAGGCCCTTCGTGGCAATCAGGGTAGGTCAGCTTTTGGGTGGACTTGGCCTGGAGCAAAGGGCACTGCACACACTGTGGTGTACAGTGTTTGCTAAATAGAAGCCGAAGGAACACTACAGACACCGTGGGCACAGCACCTGGGGGAACGCCCCCAATAGCGTGTGTCCCGGCGCCAATAACCATACAGAAGACACACGATGCGAGCCACGTGTTGGCCACACTGTAAGCATGGAGCCAGGCAGGGCAGAGGGGTTGGCCTGGTCCTGTCTCTCACACACTCAGACATGAAGGACCAGGGCAGGAAGGGTGTGCAGCCATATGAAGCAGGGTTCCAGTTCATCCTCTGTTGTGTGGCCTGCTGACTGGGCAGCACTCTTGGTGAGTGTGAGCAGACATGTGTGAGTGTAAGCACCTGTGTGGGCCTCAGGGCTGCACCTCATCTCCTGCGGTGCCAGAGGCCTCTGGCATCTGCAAGGGCACTTCTTGTGCCCACTTCTTGTGCCTCGAGAGATTGCAGCTGGTCCTCCAGTCCCCTCTCTGGAGTTCCCCCACCCTTCAGAACAGGGGTTTCTGTTCCTAAGAAAATCGGACCTTCCTTGCCTCCCATAACATGCAGTCCCCCTCCTGGCTTACCTGTGAGGGCTTGGCATGACCGCAGGATACCTGTGTGGCCACTGTAGGCACTCAGTGCTGCAAGGCACTTGGGGGCCTCCACCCCTGCTTCCAGGGACCCCAAAAGCTAGTTGGCTTGCCCTGACACGCCTGTTCCCAGAGCACACTGGAGCAGCCTGCTTGGGCACACCCAACAGGGCACAGGCAGGCCGGGTTGCAGCAGATACCAGCCCAGGCCTCGGCTGAGGGAGGGTGCTGGGCCCCAGCAGGCCACACCCAAGGCACAAGAAGTAATTCAGGCCAAGATGTGGACAGTCCTCAAAGTCTGTCAGGCTGGGCTGTGCCTCTGTGGCCAAGGGACATGAATGTCCAGATATTCCAGAGACAGAGAACAGAGAACTGCCAGATCCTGGATGGGGAGACCTGGCTGGGCTGGGAGTGGGTGGTGGCTGCTGGCTGGGTCACGCAGGGAGCCACCTGGGTGGCAGGCAGGGGCCTACTGAGGTTCCCTTCTTGGACACAGGGTGGAACCATGGCCCAAGTGTCTGACGCAGGGCCTGGGCCCTGGAAGCACCACCAGAGCTAGCTGGCCCTGCCATCCTATGAGGAGGGGGGGTGGTGGCTGGTGGAGCTGTGTGCCTCCTTCAGAGACCTGCTGGCCTTCTTCTGCTCCAATGCCGCCAACCATGGCATGGTCTGCCTGGTCTGCTCCTGCTGGAGCCATCTCAAGACTACCTCCTGGGGGCTGCTGCTTCTGGGCACCCTGGGGGTGCTCTGCTGGCAGCTTGGGCTCCTGCTGGAGCAGTACCCAGTCATCATGACAGTGTCCGTGCGCTCAGAACGCAAGCTCTTCTTCCCTCAGTCACCCTGTGACACCTTCTCCCTGAGCACAGTCTCATGAAGCCTGGCCATGGGTGATGACCTATGCTGTGCCCAGCCAGGACTTGTGAAGGGACACCCAGTCACTGGGAGCCCAGGGATGAGGAGAGGAGGGGCTCTTCCACAGGGCAATCTGAGCTGGCCTGCAAGCTGGGGTTCCCCCAGGAGGGGGCAGGAACGAAGGGAGGTGGGGGCTGTGAGCATGCAGGAGGACGTGGAGCACTGGGGGAGGGCCAGGCTAGGGGTCTGATCTCAGCTCTGCAGCCCTGGGGAGAGCCCAGGTCCAGCTCCCAACTCAAAGTCCCTCTCCTGCCTCCTCAAGTGGGGGAGGGGCTGAGTCCTCATGAGGTATAGAGATGCTGAGGCTGCAAGGTGCTGCCTGTTGGGGACCAGTGAGGGGCCCTCACAAGGTCTCTCCAGGAATGCCCTAGGGGATAACATGGGGGGGGCCCTGGGACAGTGGCTCTGATATGATGTGCCCCCAAGCCGAGCCCTACTGCGTGCCATCTGGAGGTGCTGGACACTTTTGCCCAGGAGAACATCTGCTCCCTATACAAGTACAACTTCACCCAGGGCAGCAATGTCCCCCCTGCCAGTGTTTCTGGCCCCAAGCCCCCCATCCAGCTCCATGGGATCCATCTGCCAGTGGATGAGGCACCTGTACAGCCAGCACAAGGCGGGCTTCAGACTGGTGTGGGGGTGCTGGCATGCGGCCCAAGGAGAGTGCGCCTGGTCATGGGTAGGTGAGGAGTTGTGTCTGAACTGACTCCCCACCTTCCAGTGCAACAGCAGCGGTGGTGACTGCTTCTACCGCACTTACTTGTCAGGAGTGGTACCGCTTCCACTACATGGACGTCCTGGCCCTACTGCCCACTGCCTGGGAGGATGGCCAGCACAGCAATCGTGGCCACATCATCTTGTCTTGCCACTATGACAGCAAGGACTGCCAGGTCTGGTAAGCAGGGCAGGGCTAGTGCTGTCCTTTGTCCCACCCAGTGGAGTGCAGTTCTATCCTGGGGTCTGGCTGGCTAGACACCTAGGCTGCCCAGGGCTAGCTGCAAACAAGGCAGGCATGGCTCCCCAGCACCCTGGGTGGGGAGGCAGGCCACAGGCAGGCATGACCTGAGCCGGCCCCAGGTTCCAGGCACTTCCAGATGTCCCACCACCCCACCAACGGCCGCTGCCACACCTTGAAGGGTGTGTGGGCCGCACGGCACCCAGGTATCACCCACCATGAGTGCCAGTCCCTGGTGGGCATGTGGCAGTGATGGTGCAGGAGGGACGGGGGCTCACACCTCCCTCTCAGCTTCACCAGGTATCAGTCTGGTCCTCAGGACTGAGCTGCAGCAGTATCTCACGCTGCTGTCCACCCAGGCTGGTATCAAGGTCATGGTTCATGGGCACAACCACACGCTCTTATTAGAGCACCAGGATTTCAGTATCTGGCCAGGGATGGAGACCACAGTTGACATCCAAGAGGCGGGCGTGCTTGGGGACCCTCTGGGCCCACCACCCTGGGGGCCTGGGGGGCAGGGTCGGCAGAACTGAAACCCCTCCCCTGCTGGACGTGGTGCTCAGAGGGCGTGGCCATGCCGCTACTGTACAACACCTCCTACACCAGGCTGGTGAGTGTGGGCGGGCTGGCAATGTCCGGGAGCTGAAAGTGGTCCCGGCGCAGACAGGGCCTCCCCTCCATCTCTGCTGCTCTCCAGTCCTGCCTTCCTTCCAGAAAGTGATAGTGGAGACCTGCTCCTGCGCCTACCACCTCTACCCACTGCCTGCGGGAGCTCAGTCCTGCAGCCACGAAGCACCCAGTCTGGGTTGAGCCCCGCCCTCTTCCCCTGCAGAGGGTTGCTGGATGGGTGGCTCCTAACCATGGTGGCTCCTAACCATGCCCCCACGACCCCTCTCCAGGTCACTGCTTCTACCACCTCCTCCAGGACCTGGAAACATACTAGCTGTCACGCGCCTCCTGCTGTCCCAGGTCCTGCAGGTGAGTTGGGAGGTGGGGCCCAGGGTCAGGGGTCACTGCCCTAGGCTGCTGCATGGTGTGACCACTGGCCTGTTTCTCCCAGGGAGTCTTCATACAAGCTCTCTGCGGGGACCTCTAGGTGGCCTTCAGCCAAGTCTGTTGTGAGCGGCCAGGGCATGGTGGGGATGGGTTCAGCAGGTTCCTGGGTAGTCCCTGCCCTCACACCTGCCTGCAGTGCCCTCTGGAGAGGGGAGCAGTCGCTGTGCTTGGCAAGTGGGGCCTGTAGAGCTGGAGCCACAGCCACAGCCGCAGGTGAGTGCACCCCTTCCTCCAGGGGGTATCCTGGCTGAGCCTCTCCTGGGTGAGCCCCTCACAGCTGTTTCCACTCCAGTAGCAGTGTGGCCAAGGTGAATATCTTCTACCAGGAACTCAACTACCAAATGGTGGGTGAGGCACCCGTGTACTCTGTGAGTGACCTGAGATCCAGGGCTTGGGCTGGGGGAAGGCAGGGCAGCATCTGGCCACTCCCACTGGTGGCCACCACAGTGCAACCCTGCTCAGAGGTTCCCAGGTGCGGGAGGCCCCCAAACCCCACTCATTGTCACCCACCCGCAGATTCCCCAGCTGCTCTCAGCCATGGGCAGCCTCTGGAGCCTGTGGTTTGGCTCATCAGTCCTCTCTGTTCTTGAACTGCTGGAGTTGCTGCTGGACACCATGGCCCTAGCCTTCCTGCTGGGCCTCTATCGGCTCTGCAGAGCATGGGTGTCCCAGCCTGGCGCCAGCACTGCCTCGGGGCCAGCCCATACCAGTACTGAAGCCCGGGGACTGCAGGCATACCTGCAGAGTTCCAGAGGGAACAGCTGTGTTTCACTTTTACACAGTGTCCCAGGAGCACTGGAAGGAGTTTTGGCAGAAGAGATAGGCTGAGCTCTTGTCCCTTGACCCTCCTGACACCTGAACCAGCCCTGGGGCATCTGACCCCTAGGCCTGACCCTATGGGAGAGTGGGCTCCCCTGGATGTCCAAGATGGGCTAGACTGGCCCACCTGGTTGGGTCTACCCAACAGTTCACAAAGACTTGAGTCTGTGGGCATGCAGATACATCAGGGCTTCCCTTTGCCCACCCACCAGTGATTTCTTGGGTCTGGAGCAGGTCGAGGGCAGAGAGGAGGGGAGGTCCCCTCCTATCTAGATTCCTGAGTTCCGGGTATGATTGTGTGCATGCTTGTGTGTGGGCAGAAGTGCCTTTCCATAGTGGTGCATCTGGTGTCCTGTCTGTGCACTTCTGGGTGTCTGCACTTCTGTCTACATCTGTGTGTTGGTGTGTGTGCATGTCAGGCAGAGCCTGCCTCGGCTTCAGGGCAGCCTCGGGCCAGGCAGGAAGCAGGGCAGGACCAAGGCAAGGTTTGTAATAAAATCAGCCGCTTTGTAATAAAATCAGTGATTCACAGTGGCCAGAGTGTGTGTGTGTGTGTGGCTCTCCTCTTACCCATGCTGGGGTGAGCTGCAGACCTCAGATCACACCCCAACACTTCCTTGGAACAGACCACAGCAGTCACACTATGGGGGCCGGAGAGACACTATATAGGACCAGGCCCAAGCCATCCTTACTGGCTGAGTACACCCACCCCTGCTACCACCAGGGGTCACCAGCTAAGCTAGAGGAAGTTAGAGAGGCCAGGGAATGGGGGCTGGGGATGCCAGAAGTCCTTGGTCCCCCATCAGGCCCCTGGCCTTTGGAAAAGGGACACTGGAGGGACCCTGCTCAAAGCTGCTGCTCAAGGAGGGCAGAGGACCCATTCACATCCCCAGATGAGACAGAGCAGTGCAAGGCAGTGAGCCAATGAGCAGGCAGTGGGCGCAAGCGGCAGAGGTTTATTAACCGTGAGTGATTGGAACAGGAGGGGTGGGATCCTGCCAGCCCAAGGATGGCAGGTGGCAGGGTGGGCGGTGGGCAAGCTCAAGCAGGGAAGAAAGAGCTAATTCTGCTCTTGAGGGTCACAGCCAGCAGGCAGGGGAATCGGGGCCCCAGTCCAGTGCCCACCTTACTGCCGGTGGAGCCTCCCTGGGCAGCATTTGCATAGTGACCAGCAAGAACCCACAGTTGTGGAGGGGCTCAGCCTGTCCTGAGGCTCTTTTACAAAAGGAGAATTTGAAGGCATTGGTGGGTCCCCAAATTAGCAAAAGACCCCTGGGCCCATCAGAGGGCTCAGTCCAAGGGGCGAGGCCAGTGAAGGGGCAGGGCAGAGCTATGGGGGCATCCCCCCAGCAGCAGGCAGAGCTGGGATCAGGGTGGTCCTTGAGAGTCCAGAGAAAAAAACGCAGACAAAGTCAGAACAAGGCCGTTGTAGAAAATCCACTCAGTGGGTAACAAAGAACAGTGGGTGTGGTGGGAAGTGCCAGTGGGTTTAGTGTACGCCTGGCTCTGGGCAAGTTCCTCCCTGGAGGAGGCAGGGAGGGTCTGGGGCCAACCAGCACCAGGGGCCGTCGTGGCCAGCCACATGGCCTTGGGACGCCTGCGTCCGTCCCAGGCAGAGAGCCCAGGCCAGAGCCCACCCACCCAGCACCTGCAAAAGCCCAGCCTTGATACTGGGGTCACTAAGTGAGGTACTTGGGTTGGTTCCCTGGATGGGCTGCCACTCCTGCTCTGGGAAGGTGCTGGTGGCCAGCCACCAGCCCCAGGCTAGAGGAGGGGCTCTGGGGGGTGAGTAAGAAGGACCCAGCTAGCAGGTCAGTGTTCCGCGGCAGTAAAAGTGGGGGCAAGAGATGACACTGACCCTGAGGGCTGAGAGGGACAAGGTAACACAGGCCTCGAGTGATTTGTGACGTTAGCAATCCAGGCCCCTGAAGAAGGGGTCACCTGAAGACAGAGATTCCCCAAGTGGGGTGAGGGGCACCAGAAGATGCAGCACCCCCCAAAACGTGGGGTTTCAAGACTCAGTGCTGGGGTCCTTCACTCCCGGCCAGGGGGGACCACGGGTAGCCGGGAGGAGCGATGAGCAGGCGCGTGGGGCTCCAGGAGCACCAGGGCACTGGGGCTGTCGGGACGGGCCCATGGACCTTGCGCAGGCAGGGCTGTGGCTGGGTGGGGGACCAGGATTTTCAGAGGCATGCAGGGTCCGGGCCGGGCGGGCCGGGCAGGGCTGGGGTCCCCCCCACGGCTGCCCGGCCTGCGCAGCCCTAGCTCTCCTCCAGGTGGAGACTGATGAACTCCTGGATGCACCTGCGGTATTGCAGCTCGGTTGGGCTGCTGCCCGCCAGGGGGCCCAGCTGGCCGGGGGCCGCCTCAGCCTCCCTCATCTCCTCGGCCATGCGCGCCAGACGGAGCCTGGGGGAGGGGCGCAGTGTGAGGCAGCGCCTCTGACCACCCGGCGCTCGCGGAGTCCCGCCCCCACGGCCGCGCGCGCTCACAGCGTAACGATGTCTGCGTTGGCCGCCTGCACGGCGATGGTTAGCGGGTCCTGCTGCTCCTGGTCCAAGGCGTGCTGGTCGGCTCCGCGTTTCAGGAACAGGCAGACCTGGCTGGGAGCGGAGGGCCGTGTCTAGGCGAGGTGGGCTGGGCGCGGGTGAGGCCGGGAGGGGCAGGCTCACGAGACTCACCCGGTGCGGCCCAGGAGCGTAGCGTGGTGCAGGGGCGCCCGGCCCCGGCTGTCTCTTTGGTTAACGTCTGCTCCGTTTTGCAGAAGGAATTCACAGATGATCAAGGAACCCTGGGGAGCCGGGCGCCTAGGACTGAGCCAAGAAATGGCCCCCTACAGGGCCCCCACACCAGGGCCCTCAGCCCTGCATGCCCAGCCGGGACAAGCCTGCGCTCCACCCGGGAGAGGATGCACACATTGGCGTGCAGCTTCCTGCCACACTCACCCCTAGCACGGCCTGCACCAGCGGCGTTTTGCCTTCGTCCTCTGCGTCGGCCCAGTTTACCTCCGCCCCGTGGGCCAACGCTGCGGCCAGCGCGGGGAGGTCGCGAGTGCGCGCTGCGCGGTGAGCCAGTAGTCCAGGATGCAGCTCACGCACATCTGCCAACCCCCAGGCCTCGGCCTCGGCCTCGGTCTCGGCCTCGGCCTCTACCTCACCACTGGACTCCTCTGACTCTGCACCCTCTGCGGGAAGATGGACAGGGTTAGGGTCTTTGACTTCACTGGGTGGGGGTATACCAGGGCTGCAGCGAGATGGAAAGGTGTGTACCAACCTTCCTCAGTGACACTGTCCACCACTGAGCCTGCACCAAAGGCCAGGACGTCTGAACTGCCATCAGAGCTGCCTCCCAGGCCACTGTCGCTGCTTAGACCTGCAGGGTCACAGGCTGGTGAGGGGCTTGAGCAAGGCAGGCCCCTGACTCTTCCCAGAACCACAGGGAAGGCTTAGCCCCACTGGCCCTCCAGGGGACCTGGGAAGGGCAGAACCAGCCCTAGCTAGGAAAGAGGAAAGGATAAAAAACCACCAGGCCTCAAAGGAGCCAAGGGTAGCCCAGGGCCAGGTTCTGAGGTCTTCAGGTACTGGAAGCCCAGCCTGGCCAGCAGGGAAGAAGCCAGGCCTCAGAGAAGCCTGAGGCTTAGGGCCAAGGCGACAGCGCCCTCTGCTGCCTGCAGTCACCCCGCTCATTCCCATCATGCACATAGGCCCTCCAGCAGTGTGTGCGTGCGCGCGCGCACACACACACACACACACACACACAGCTCTTAACAGTCCCAGTTTCAGCCTCCAGGTGGGTGAACAAGAAAGCCCTGCTAAAGCTCCAGCTCTCCCCACGGCCAGCCCAACCTCCTTGTGACACTGCCTAGCTCTGTCCCTCCTATGTGGGAAAGCTGTCCTTTCTGTCCCTGAGCAAATGCCGCCCATACTTGTCCATGCGCCAGGGAGTCTTCACTGGCTCCCCTTCTTTCCTGGATGGGGTGGCAGCCCCCAAAGGGGGTGGGCAGCAGGGGATGGGGCCTCCCAGAACTTACTGCGTGGACCGGCCCCCGCTGCCCCTGCGTCGAAGTAGGAGAAGAGGGAATCCAGCTCATCGGGACAGAAGAGGGAATCCCGGCGGAACTTGCGCTCCAAAGTGCCTGCTGCTGGGGGGTGGGCCACATGTTCAGAGGGGGAAACTGAGCACCAGATTAGGAGGGTGCCCCAGGCCCCACTGGGAGTTGGACAGAGTTCCAAGGTGCCTCTGTCTCCAACCCACCTCCCACCATGACTCTCAGGGATCAGGGGCTCAGACCCAGAGAATTGCAAGAATTACAATTGTTTGTAATCCTGCCCAGGTTTATAAGTGGGTGTGGCTGCTAACAGCCCTCTCACCTGAGGACAGAGCAGCCACTGAGGGAAGGACAGGTTCAAGTCGAACCTTGCGGCGGGTGGTAGGAGCACGGGGGGAGCTGTGGGGGCGCTGGCACTTCTGTGCTCGCCAGTGCCTTGGGGCATCTCGGGCCAGTGCTGTTGGAGGCTTCCGCAGAAACTTCTTTTCCACGTATTTGTCCTTGATCCAGGCCTCCTTGTCCTGCCTGGACCAGGGGCAAACATGAGTCTGCATTCACTGGCTGAGGCTCCTCTGGCCAAGTTGGGCTGCACCCCACCTCACCTGGGGCTGCTGGCTGTGGGCTTCCTGCTGCCCAGGCCCTCATACTGGGCCTCATAGATCTGGTTCATGGTGCTATTTCCAAGCTCACACATCAGCTGGTGAGAGAAGGGTGTGTGGAGGTCCGTACAAGCTCAAAAGACCCCATACTCCCACCCAACCCAGGGTCCTAGAGGACTTTAAGAGCACCCCCCACCTTTAGTAGCTCTGGCTCCCAGGAATCCAGTGTCAGGGACCGAACCTTGGAGCAGTGGACACCCAGACTCCTGGACAGCAAGGAGATAGGGCTGGGTCAGGTTGCAGCTCCACCTGGCTTGGCCCTGCCCCACCCCACCGAGTCAGGGAGGCCACCTGTGGATGCC